TTAATCTTTTAAAATAACAGACATTTTCTTTATCTTCCAACTATTTAGTCATCAAGTAATGTCTATTCTTCATGTAAACTGCCTTCATCCCATTGCTTCAAATAATATTTTCACTCCTGCATTTTCTAGCAGTACTCTTAGTGGATCTTTACACCCAGTCTCTTTTTCAGTACTCTCAACACTGAGCCTGGATTTACCTTCCTGGCACATTTACTTTCCTATCCAGTAGCTTCCAATAATTCTCAGTGTCCACAGATAAAATCTAGAGTTCTTAGATTTGCAATAAATTCCCCGTCATTGAAAAATGGATTGCCCTTTCTCTCAGCACTACTCAGTAGGCGTCTCTGGCCAAAATAAGTTTATCTTTGTCTTCTAAGCTCAAATAGCATTTCCTCTGCTGTTCTTCCGGCTGGGATAGCCTGTCTCTGCCCATCCAACATCTCTCCTAGTCAAGTCAAAATGTATCCCCAGACATCCTATATATCCTTGTTCCATGTATTTTTCCTTTCAGTCTGTTGGTCAAGAATAAGTGCTTTGCTGCACTGAGTTTAATATGAATGATTCTTTTATGCCCAACACAGAAACAAGCCCTTAAAAACAGACTCAGAATTCATACTTCTTAGGAACTGTCCAAAGTGATCTGCATAAAAGTACTTGATAAAATAGGCCAATGAAACTAATATAACTTTAATTATTATCAATTCAAATTAATATTTTCTATCAAATATGGGAAATTTGTTTGATCCCATAAAGCAACTTTGTGGGTTTTTTTTCTGTTTTAGATCATTGATTTTTTTGTAAATGTTTTAAAATTTAATATTACTCAGCAATCAAAAATTACAAACTCATGTCTTTTGCAGCAAAATGGATGGAGCTGGAAGTGATCATAATCAGTGAAATAAGCCAAAAATAGAAAGAAATATACCGAATGGCTTATCTCATAGCAGGAGCATAAGGGATGGGGGGGGGGGAATTATAATAAAGTATAATTGAAAAACAATGAACAACTATAAACCAAAACATTTTACAGATAGAGAGGGTGCACTGAACTATAGTTATGGCACATGGGTGAAGTGGTAGTGGGAAGTCCATGGGGATTGCAACTGAGATGAAAAATGTACAAAATGAAGAATGATATAAATCAATTAATTAATTAACTAATTTTTTAAAACTATTTTAATTGTGATAATATTTGGATACCCTCTTCAGGTATTGCCCTATAGTATACCTGTCACTAACTCACCCATATTACCCTCACCGCAGTCCATTGCCAAAAGCACCTTTAAACCCATAGAAAGGAAATGCAATACATAACAAACTCTTCTCCAAGCTTGACATCAAAAGAAACAGTTTCAATAATGCCTTGAAGAGTTGGCGGCCTGGTGGCAGGCACACTTCAAGAACTACACCAAGAGTAGACACTAGACTATACTTACAAAAATATTAAAAACTCTGTAAACTGGTAGCATGTCAATAATGTGAAGTAATAATAATAACAATAATAATAATAATAATAGGGCCCTAAAGATGTTATTAAGAAATGTACTTCAGGATATATTCAGGAAATGTACAACCAGACTTGATAAATCTATCTAATTGTAACCTCCAGGAAAATTTTGTTCTTTAAGCTAGAATGGGGAGTTCACAAATTCTCCTGAGATAGCTAAAATCATATTTTAAAAAATTCCTTCTGGAATGATATTACACTATTTCAAATACAAAGTTATTTTTTCAGATTCTTAAAAAGATTTATCACCTATCGTGAAGATTTTATTTTACTTGAGAAGTAAGTGCTATAAATTGGAAGACATTGTATAATCTATAGACTTCTCCATGTAAGCAGCAGGAAACAAAAAGGCATCTAAATGAGTAGCACAGTTTCCTATAGTAATTATATATAAAGTCAGTAAAATTTCTACTATTTCCTCAAAATTTAAATCAGTGAAACTGTCAGTTTCATAAAAGTGATCTCAAATCTTGAAATGTATAGAAAACCCATCTGGGCCCTCCCACTGGCATAGCTGACCCCATGACCTTTGAGTTATCCACAAACTCTCTCAATGCATAATTTAAACAAGTGCATTTGGATTTCAATTCCTGTGGAGACAAAAAATACACG